AAACAATCAATCAAAAAGCCAACACCTGGGCAACAAGAATCACCTGTCAGTTGTGTGTTCCAACAGTTTTGCTCACTTGAAAATTCGGTGGGTTCAAACAAAAGATGCTATGTCCTAATTTGTTTAACACATCTAAATGTAAAAACCAGAAAATAAAAGATGAAAATCTGAACTCCCATCTCATATTCATCTTTTGATATATATATATATATATATATATATATATATATATATTGGAAAAATTTAAATAAAAATGTTTGCTTCGAACTTTGTCTTGTGAAACGTTCATCTCTGCACTGAGGAGGTTGTTGATGATGTCACTGACTGTTGTTTTGTGGTTTTTCCTTACAGCTCTCACAATGTTTCTTTCATCAACTGCTGTTGTTTTCCTTGGCCCATCTGTTCTATATCAGTCGTTCAATACACCGGTAGTTTATTTATTTTTCCGGGCATTCCAAAATGTTGTATTGGCTAAACCCAATATCTGTGTAATGGCTCTGATCGATATTCCTACATTTCCCAGCTTCAAAACGGCTCTAAATAGACAGCTCCCACGTCTTCATGTTGGTTTATCCTTTTTAACAACAAACGCAGGCTTTACAGTTGAAAGCCAACTCTAAAACCAAACGTAGTCATTCAGAGCTATCTAATGTTTAAGCAATCAATCTAAAAAGCAACACCTGTGCAACAAGTAACACCTGTCAGTCATGCGTTCCAGTAGTTTAGCTCACTTGAAGAATACATGGCTTCAAACAAAAAATGGCATGTGCTAAGTTGTTTAACACATCTAAATGTAAATACCAGGAAATAAAAGATGAAATTCTGAACTCTTGTCTCATATTCAACTTAAACACAAATGTTTTCAGTGAACAACAAAAACAAATAGATTGGATTTTTCGTTCAAATAATTTTTGAGCGGACTTTTTTTTATATATATATGAAAAGTTCAGAGCAGATAACAGAAAGATTTTATAGTTCCATGAAAATAAATGGATACAACGTTTAAAAACACACTATCCAGCCGGGCTAAACCATAAATTTAACAATATATATAGTATTAATATATAAACCTACCCACATTTCTCACCCACATTTCTCACCCACACAAGACAGACATGTTTACGGAGATGTTGAGGCCTCACACTTATACACCCACCCACACGAATATACACACTTACACACATCATACTCACTCACTCCCTAATGAGCCAAATGATAACACACACCCACAGCAATATACACGCTTACACATATCATACTCACTCCCTAAGAACCAAATAACACACACACACACTTAACAGAGACACATCCCCTCTTCAGAGACCAATAAAACTGTCAAACTGACCAGGGGAATTCAGAGCACCATAGATCCATGTCTGTGCGTGTTTGTGTCTTGTGTGTGAATGGAGGATTTTAGCTTTTGTTCCACCAATGTTTATAAAGGTAACATAGTTCTATTTTAAAAATTCTGATTGAATCCACATTGCCAACGTGTATGGCAAACGATTGTCACAAGTCTAGTGTACGTGCGAACAGAAAAACGGTTATCGGCACTGAAAATGAAATAAATGTACCGAGTTCAAATTCTAACTTCGTCTGTCATGTTCACACTCACGCTAATGCAAAAGTTGTGAGACCGCCTCCTCTTTCTCCCTTACATCTATAGACTAAATAGGTTAGCCTAGTCTCACTAGCCTTGGGTAGCTGTTGGAATCTATCTTTCCCCTCGGCCCGCAACTTAGTGTTGACAGGGATCTTATACGAATTAAATCCTATTTATATTTTTCAGCCAATAAAATCCCATCAGAATGCTCGTTTGATAAACACTCATTACAAGGACAAATATGAAAAAATAATTGTGGACGAAGTTGTAGACCTACCCTGTCTTATTTTGGGACCATTTAGAAAATAACAATAATAACTCCCTGCACTACTCCCGTAAATTTGAGAAAAAGATTTTTGCGAGCCAGTATGAAATTATTTTCTAACTAATGAAAACATTGTATTCAAAAAGTTCACATCTCTGTGTGAAATTAGATATCGGACCCCCAGCCCTTACGGATATAAAAATTGAAGCCTACTGCTTCTCGAGGCTCAAAACAATTTCTGAGGCCAATTTGATCTACACGTACGTAAACATACACGCACCCACACATAATGGGAGACGAAAGCCACAATAGAAGGTAATTACCAGAAGCTGTCTCCTTATCCTCTCTCTACTCACAAACACAATAGGCTGACCGTCATGAAATAAGTATGTCCACGCGTAAGAACACGTAATTGCTTAATAAAACAAACTTCATTGCAAGGAAAATTGAACATTTTATTGTCATTGTATATTCTCTGAAAACAGTATATAAACGTTATTTCAACTGATGTTCTGTTTTTAATTTCCCCTTGAAAATAACCTTTTTTATGTTTCATTTGAAAGATGTGTGGTTGTCGTTAAATGTTTTGAATCCCGACAGATAGCAACAAAAACATTGGTACACGGATCTCAACAATCTCTTGCCTTGAGATAGCAATCAGTCAAGAAGGACAAGTATGAATTCAAAACCGTTTTTTATGCTATTGTTCACTGAATAAAAGACATAAGAGCCACTCAACGTAAAGGGTTACTGAATAATGCTGTTATAGGTGCGTACAGGAGAGTAAGGGGTGCATTTTATGTAGGATAAATAACGGTTGACCCTAGACATGAAGAGGTTCAGATTATAGCGATCGGATAAGCATCCTCTGAGACGTCTGTTCTACAATGCAACAGTTCTCGGAAAGAATTTTTCTAAGTAGATTTTCTTCCTTACCAAATCAGGTGTATGACGTTAACCTACACCCGACAGCAAGGCCTCTGATCGGGAGATTTGAAATTTTGAGCGTGGAACCACCTTTTTTATTTGCTGTTGTTCCCAGATCCACCCTGACCCGGTGTGGTAGCACCTGTTAGGGTCCCAGCAGTTAGTGAGTTTTCAAACAAAATACTATGAAAGTATAAAATATATTTTTATAGCAAAAATACCAGCAATACATATTATAGAAAAATGCCCAACAATACATTTTATAAGCAGTTGAGGGTATACAATTGCATTTAAAATATATTTACTTGTGGGTTTACAATTGCGTTCAAGATATATTTAGTTGAGGGCATTACATTTACGTTCAAGATATATTCAGTTGAAGTCATGTAATTGTGTTCAAAGTATATTTAGTTGAAGCCATAAAATTGTGTTCAAAATATTTTGTTTTTAGCGTTTAAGAACCCATAGAAGTTGATACGCCGCTAAAGAATAAACCACCCGACATGTAAGAATTTTTTCATAACATTGATCCATATAATATCCCATAATTTCTTAAAGAAATCAAACTGTATTCCAAAATATAAGTTAAAAACTACAACATAAAACACTCATATCACTGCCTCTAGTAATTATACAGGAAGAGGTGGAGGGCCATGATCACCTACACCCTTGTGCAAATTAACTGAAACAAAACGAATAATTCCATTATTATTTACTTTTTTACGTATTTTTCCAATGAAACATGACCCAGTGCCACATGTTAATACTTCGTATGTCCATTCACGAAGTCGTTCCTTGCAGATTGACCACAGATTCTCAATTGGATTGAAATCAGGAGAGTTTCCGGGGCAGTCTAGTACTTTGATTTGCTCACTGGTAAAGGTTGTCAGTGTGTTCGTGCAGTGTTACAATTTGTGTATGCTTCCTTGGAGTAACGTCCATTGCAGACAATGGCTGTAGGACAACAAATCGACAGTCGAGACAATAGTATCTGGGCGTGATGAAAATCTGATGCAATCACGAATGACGCAATATTTTTCAAGGCCAAACAAATTTCATCATACACCCCGAAAACAGATTCATATTACTGCACGCCACTGCAAATGACCTAATCTGAGTAAAAATAGAAATTGATTACACCTTGTCACTCTAGTGGGTCTAAAACTGATAGTATGGTGAAAGAAAGGAGACTAAACTGGTTGTTTCAATTAATTTTCACAAAGGTGTATATGTGCAAAGCCTGAGTATCATCTACCATGTATTCAATTGTGAAAGTAGAATAATATATCGTATTTTTATTACTTCAAATCTCCCAAGAAAATTAAATTTCGGGATTGAATGACCCATGAAGAGTTGATATGCCGTTAAACAACCAAATCAGTCTTCGTTACCAATGGAATACGAAGGGAAATGTAATGAGTTGACCCTGAGTGCGTGGTATGGCGGGTCACTGCTTAAACTGGTGAACCCAAGAAATGTATCAATCTGAAGATCGGCCATGAAAATAGCGATAGAGTAGCGAATAGACTTTTGAAATTTGTCAAGGTTAGAAATTGAAGACTGAGAATCTCCAGGCCAGATACGACTGCATTACTTCATTTTTGGTCTGATCTAACTCTTGTAAAGACAAAGCATGGCAGAAGGAATCAGGTACGTTCTAGAGCGACCCAAGGAACTGACTATTTTTTCAGCTTCTTTAACGGTGGATCGCATATAAGAGTCCCTTTTGAGATCTGGTGTGAGCCTGAATCCTAGTCCACTGTTATGGTTACAATACACGTGGTGCCCCCACGGCCTTAATAGCTTACGGAAATTGGGTGTGTAATAGCCACGTGCTTCTGCTAGTAACCCTACAAAGAGACCTGTTCTTACAATACATAACATCAAAGATTATTTAATATTAGAAACAGTAATAAAATATGGACTGTTTGATGAGGGAAAGCCTGTATGAGATGAAAAGAATAAAGAGAAAGAAAATTTATGCCTTCTCGTTGTTAACAGGTAGCAATAAAATACTTGAAGACAAAGGCTTCAACTTCCTTTGTGATTGCAACATGGGAAATCGGACCAGCCATCTACCTCTGAGACACGCCCTCGCCCGACAGGGTCACCGGTTCGGGAAAATGCGTTTCAGACCAAGTGAAATAGATTCGAACCAATATTGAAAAGAAGCTTTTTATATTCATTGTGATTGTTTACGTTTTTATGTCAATGGAGGAAAATGAGCGAGCGACACGGAGAGGGAATGGCAAAAGCAAAAATAGACTGTTGACGCCCCCCCACCACCACCACCACACGCACCCACCAATCACCCTGCAAGCATGTCGTTTCCGAAAAAATTACTTTATTCTTCTTTTACTTTTCTTCTTCTTCTCCTCCTTATTTCTTTCTTTCTTTCTTTTATTCTTTTTTCTTTCTTTCTTTCTTTCTCGTCTTTCCGCTTCTTTTCACTTAAATTTTCTTCCTTTTCTAATTCATTTTTCTTTCCTTTTTCTTCTTTCTTTCTTTCTTTCTTTCTTTTTCGTTTTCCGTTTCTTTCCTTTCCACTTAAATTTTATCTTCCTTTTCTAATTTATTTTTCTTTCCTTTCTTATTTCTCTTCTTCATCTTCTTCTCTTTCTTTTTCTTTCTTTCATTCGTTCCTTCATTCGTTTTTCTTTCTTTCTTTCTCATCTTTCCGTTTCTTTCTTTTCCACTGATATTTTTTCTTCCTTTTCTACTCTATTTTTCCTTTCTTCTTTCTCTTCTTCTTCTTCTTTTTTCTTTCTTTCGTTCTTTCATTCTTTTTTCTTTGTTTCTTTCTTACTTTCTCGCCATTTCGTTCTTTTCCTTTCCACTGATATTTTTCTTCCTTTTCTAATTTATTTTTTCTTTCTTTCTTTCTTTCTTTCTTCTTCTTCTTCTTCTTCTTCTTTCTTTCTTTCTTTTTTTATTTTTTATCTCGTTCCTACCATTCTGCTTCTTTCCTTTTCACTTATATTTTCTTTTTTCTTCCATTTCTACTTTTTATTTTCTTTCTTTCTTTTATTTTTCTTTTATTTTTCTTTCTTTCTTTCTTTCTTTCTTTCTTTCTTTCTTTCTTTCTTTCCACTTACGGCCATATGACGTTGAAACACCGGTTCTCGTACTATCACCGTAGTTAAGCAATATCAAAACTGGTCAGCACACAAATGGGCGACCGCTTGAAAATACCAGGTACTGTAAGTTTGGATGTGCGGGTGGTGTAATGGATAACGGTTTGGAATTGGAAATCGGGGAGCCGAGTTCAAATTCCCGTTGGGTTTGTTATATTCACTTTGGAAAGCCATGAATCCACCTCTCCACCCTTCGCAGCTTTGAGTTAATTCGCAAAACTTGTATCACGAAATCATTATTATCTCAAAAAAATGATTGCAATCTAAATATATTTTCTGGCTTTAAATAACCTGCAAAAAGTTGATAGGCTATAAAAAGTACTGTCTATTTATATTTTCTCTTTTCTAGTTTCTCTTTTTCTTTCATTTGGCTTTCATCTTTGCTTTACTTCATTTTTCTTTTTTTTCATTCTACTCTTTCTTTTTGCCATTTCTTTCTCTTTCTCTACTTTTTCCTTCTTTTCTGTTTTTTCTTTTCTTTTTCTTTCTTTTCTTTTTCCGCCTTTTCTTTTCTATCTCTGTTTTCTTTTCTTTTTCTCTATATTTTTCTTCTTTACCTTTTCCTTCCTTTTTTTTTCTTTTTCCTTTGCGCATTTCTGATACATTTTTATCATTTATTGTACACGTCTTCTTTTTGCTTCTTTTCATTTCTTTTTCATCTTCTTTTTTCCTAGCCATTGCTTCTTTCTCATCTTTCTTTTATTCACATTTATTCTTTCTTTCTTTCTTCATTTACTTTTACCTTCTTTTTTTTCCAGTCTTTTCTCTTCTTTTTCCTTTTCGTCTATTTTCCTTCTTTTTTTTTTCTCTCGATATCTTTCTATTCTCCTCTTCTCTCTTTTTCGCCTTCTCCTTCATTTTGTCTTTATATTCTTTTTCTTTCAAATCTTCTTCTCCTTTCTTTTATTGCTCCTTTTCGTCCTCTTTTTCTTTCATTATCTGAAACGCTGAGTTTCATTCCTTTTATTCCTCTTTCTCCTTCATCATCATCATCATCATCTTGCACACCATTTTCTCCTCACACTATTATCCACCTTCTTCTTCTTCTTCTTATTCTTCTTATTATTATTATTAATATTTACCTACTAAGAATTACGTCTTTCTTCATGAGTCAGCTTCTATGTGTCATGTTCTTTCAGGATGTGAACGGTTATGGCTCTCCACAACTTCCTTTTCTGTTGCTCTAAATAACTCTTAGCTCTTTATCACCGCTCCTTCTCTTCAAAATGTTTGTTCATCTATCCATTCACTCAAACTCATTGGGGGTAAACCGCTGTTTCCGCCCCCTTCTCTTGAATTCAGTATGCCCTGTGTGTATTAAATTCTCCAAACGTCCTTTACTCATTATACATCCCAACATTTTTTAGCTATCTCCAGGTGTACCAGTCACGTGAATGACAGCCAAATTTGAGCGATATGGTAATGGATTTAGTTAAACGTAACGCGTAACCCCTGCAGGTGGAGCACAAGTTATAGACACCCGTTCAGATAAGATTAAACCAGTTCGTTTAGACGTTCTCCAATTGAGGGTGCTGTTAGTTATCTAGATGTAACTCCCAAGTCACCTTGGCTGTCTCACACTTTAAACTTAATAAAGAAACCCTGTCGACACCTGACCATCATGTTTAAGGGACACAGACATTTAAGAGAATACAGGGTGTCTCCCCCCAAAATTGGCATTATTTTAAAAGCAATTATCTTGAAGACTACTAACAGTTTAGATGTTGAACATCATCAGTTTATTATATCACCGATTTTACAAGTGTTCATTATGTGCAAATCGGTAAAGTTCATGACAAGCATGCTGTAGCATGTCTCCGGTAACATTATCCCGTGCAGAAGTGATTCTCTGCTTGAATTCATCAATGCTAGCAGGAAGAGGGGACATAGACCTATAAAAGAAATCACAGGGGGACAGGTCCGGTGACCGCGGCGGCCATTTCATCAGAAAACTATCTTCGTCTCCACCATGCCCGATATAAAATCTTGATCGGTTTCTATACATTCTGTGAAAATTTGAGGTCATTTCAACAAGAATTGCCAAAATTATTGGCCTGCGAAATGATGTCACATTTTTTGGGACACACTATATATATATATATATATATATATATATATATATATATAATTATTATTTAAAAAAATGATTCCAACACATATATATATATATATGTATCTATCTATATATATATATGTGTGTGTGTGTGTGTGTGTGCATGGATGTATGTATTGGGACACCTTTATTCTACATTCAACAGCATCACTTGATAAAACACCAGAAGTGTTGAAACAAAATGGCTATTTTTGTAGTAGTTTTATAACATTTATTTTATAATTTTAGAATAAATTATATTTGCTCTACTGTGTATTGAGCACTCTCTTAAGAATAGTATTTTTGACTATTGGAATTTATTTCGTATACACGAATCCTAAACTTGTATATATATATATATATATATATATATATATATATATATATATATATATATATATCGACTCTTATTAGGGATCAAGTGACAGCAAATACGATGCTTAATTCAATAATTCTGCTGTCGGATCTTAGGTATTATCACAAAAATCCTTATCGTTTCTGTATCAACCTCGTCGGCTATTGCCGCCCCTACCATTTCTTTCATTTTGCGTCATCTCCGCCGCTACCGTCATCATCGCCTCTGTCACTATTAGCATTATCATCTCCACCACCGTTAATGCCGCCCCCACCATAAAAACTGACGTCACCATCGCCACCTCCACCCTCCACCAACACCTTCATCACAGCCGCCCCCACCATCGCCACCACCATCATTCTTATCCCCATCATCAGTACCAAAACCACCCTCACCACCGCGCCTACGGTCATCGACACCACTACCACCATCGCTACTGCCTTGCCGCCACCACTACTTTTCGTCAACTGCCGCCTTCATATTTTATCCTTTGACAATTTATTTCTATTATTCTACCCTTAAAATCCGAAGCCAGTCCCTTCCTGCAGACCAGAACTGGATGATTCAGATTTTCAGGGTTCGTCTGCCCGAATCCGATACACGGAGAAAAATGAAGGGGGTCAGTTAGCTGCTTTTCAAATGAATGAAAACAGACGCTTCAAAACCTTAGCATTGACGAAGGCACCCCCCTCCTGACGTTTGCCACACCACTGAGTCAAACAAACTAAACACTCCCTCGCCCGTCTCCCTGAGAAAGGGAAAACATCTTAATGCTGATATGGAGTGTGGTGTTATAAATTAGGGTCGGCTGCTCTAATTACGAACAAACATGGCTAATAAGCCCTCGGGAAAAAGAAAGGATCGTTCATCCATTCCAGAAATAGGAGAAGTGAACTACTTCATTTTACAGGGTTACTGAAAAACCCAGAGACGAATATGCAATGTGATAGGTCCTGATCTGGCAACTCCGTCTGCAGTCACTTTCTCACAGACGTGATAAGGCTTCCCTCTGTCTTTTCTACAAATATTTTCATGGCAACTGTTCTGGTATGCTTTTCTCCTTAGTGCATCGACTGCATGAATTTAAGCGTGCTACTAGATTGGCAATTAGGTCTCACCGTTTTATTGTTGAACTAGCTAGATATCAGGAAAGTTGGTTCTCTGTAACGCACGAGAAGGTTTTTTCCTCGCCTTAGTCCATCCTTCAAATCTACAAATCAACCATTTATCCAAGCATGGAATACTATTGTCATATATGATGTGGTCCCTTCACCTCCGCTATTCATCTCGAGGTCCTAGACAAAATCCAGAGACAGATATGCAATCGTTAGAAACAAAGAAAAACTAATGAACTATTATTAATTATTTATTATTTAATATCAGTCCTATTATTTAATATCAGTCCTCCTATATGAACAATCTCCTCACAGATGAAGAAAAGACTTAAAGTGAGAGAATTGTGGATCTACAGAAGGATACTGCGAATATCATGGGATAAATATAGGGATAACAGGGATATTTTAGGACAAAATGGAAACAAAAAGTACTTATACTTCGAATCAGAAAGATTCAATTGAAATTTCAAGGATACATAATGAGGAAAGAAAGCTTGGCGAATTTGACCCTCAGAGGACATGTTGAAGAAAAAGAAAACTGAGGGTAACAGCGAAAACTAACAGGTATTAGGATAGATAGCAAAAAGACAAACTTTATTAAGATCTATAAAGCACAGGAAGTTGTGGAGAGCTATGACTACCGACGTTTTGAAGGGACACGGTACATAGAAGAAGAGGTATTTTTTTTTTCAAAACCTAAGTACATTTATGAGTAAAAACATTTTTCTTTCTATATATATATATATATATATATAAGTGAACATTGATTTCAACACTCAGAGGCGACAGGCTGTTTCATGCTGGACGCAATCGTCAGGCCGCCTGACGGTTGCGCCCAGCCTGAAACAGGTTGTCGCTATTAAGTGTTGACATCAATGTTCACTTTTATATTTATATTTACATTTATATTTTATATTTATATTTACACACGCTCTATCTCTGATATTGAGCACTTTATCCCATAAATATAGCACACCTTAAGACTATATTTCTTCATATATATATATATATATATATATATATATATATATATATATATTTAAAACACACACACACTATATATATATATATATATATATATATATATATATATATAAATATATGGATATAGATCCGAAAGTATGAAGAAAAAATATACTGAAAAACAAAAAAAATCCTAATATGCGATTATTATGCTTTTTTTAATGTTTAATGTTTATGTCCACGTTTTTTCTAATTGAATTCTTCATGGTCATATTTATAAATGTTTTATAAATATGTCCTGAAGATGGTCAATTAGACAGAAAAAACGTCCGACGTGGACATTAAACATTAAAAACAGCATAATCGCATATTAGGATTTTTGTTTGTTTTTTCAGTATATTTTTTTTCATATATATATATATATATATATATATATGTGTGTGTGTGTGTGTGTGTGTGTGTGTGTGTGTGTGTGTGTGTGTGTGATTAATAAACAATAAAATTCAAAATTGCCTCATATGGAACTGAGTTCGTGTCCGTACAGTTAGGAAGTGCAAGAAGTAGAAGTTAAAAAAAAAACCTGTCAAAAAACTAATACAGAATTTATCCAGTCCAAACCGGAATTGATAAGACAGACGACCGATATCTTTGTCTGCCAAATAGATTATTCCCCATATGAGGTGATTTGGGATTTTATTTTTTTACTAATTATATTGCTCTGTATTAATAAATACATTGAGCTCTTTTGTGGATCAGTTTTAATATTTTATATTACTAGGATACGCCTGGATTATATGCCATGGATTTGTTACCTTTACTATATATATATATATATATATATATATATATATATATATATATATATATATATGTGTAACAGCAAAATTGACCATCCCACAAAATGTTTAATATCTAAAAAAAAAAAACACACTAAAGTAATCGTATTTCTTTTTTACAGATTTTAAGAGAAGACGTTTAAACATTTGTCGTAAGAATCACTGAAAAAAAACTTTTGAGGCATTCAGGAAGAAAGAGAACAAGTTAAAGTCTGCTTATGTCAACCTCACTATGTCTTTCCAACTGAAAAATGGTGAGAGGAAAAAGATCATTCAACCCTTCAGTAATGGTAACAACATTCATGCTCTGGCTTTCATCTTCAAAGACCATTAAAAACCATCAAGAGAACAGTGAATAAGTTTAAGAAAGAGGGAACAGTAGAGAGGAAAACTGGATCATGAGGTCACAACAGGAATAGGGATCATCATTTCAACTTAGAGCTAAAGAGATCAATTAGAAAAGATCCAACTCAACCCATAAGACGTTTGGCACTTAAGAGAGTAGTTTTAGCAATGACAGCCCAAAATGCAGTGAAAAAAAATTGAAAATGAAATCATACGTGAAACATGTGAAACACCTTGTTACTCCAAGACAAAAAGTTAGAAGGTTATAAGAGGGCAAAGATCATCTTGAATAAGTTGGAAAATTATCCTGGAATAATATATATTTATATTTGAAATTTATATCAATCCTTTATGAGTTTCCGATCTTTAGCTATGATTAATTAAAGATGAACATTTCGTTTATGATCAATTTCATCACGATACTTCTGTAAAGCTTAGAGAGTAATTATACAACATCAACAACGTCATCAACAACAACAACAAGCTTTTCATTCAGATACTCCTGCGCTACTGCCAGTTTCATGCAATTTTTCAATTATCCGTCGCCAAAGATGAGACATATCTGAAAAATATATAATTCTTTCTCTATATACGAAATGCATCTAGTTCCAAAAGAGACATAGAATTTTACTCTGAGTTTAATGCGCAAAGAGATCTTTAGAAAGTTCAAAGTATTTTTTCTTCTGAAGATCGCTTTACACGGGAAATGCATAGTCAAGTTAAAAATCAGTGCCGTCTCAGGTTGCATCTTCAATCTTTCTGAATTTTTTTTTTCTGTTTGATTTTCTTGTACCGGGTGTTTAATACTGTCAGTTTTTAGTTAGGTATCCTTGGGTGTTTTTTGCTTTTTTCTCCTATTTTTTTT